CTCAAAAGTGCTGGGATTACAGGCGTGAGCCACCATGCCCAGCCTTGAGATCAACTTTTTTAGCTTCTGCATATGAGTGAGAGCCTGCAGTGTTTAACTTTGTCTTGCTAGCTTATTTCACTTAACATAAAATGTCTTCCATTTCCATTCATGTTGCTACATGTTGACAGGATTACGTTTTTTTATGGCTGAATATCATTCCATTGTGTATATATACCACATTTTCTTTAACTATTATCTGTTGTTGGACACCTAGGTTGAACTTGGCATTAAGATTGTCTTTTGTGAATAGCACTGAAATAAATATGCGGATACAGATGTCACTTCAATATTCAGATTCCCTTTTCTTTGGATAAATGCCCATTAGTGGGATTGCTGCATCATATGGTAGATGTATTTGTATTAATAGTATTTTGAGGAACTTGCATACTATTCCCCATAGTATGGCTGTACTAGTTTACATATCCACCCACAGTATATGAGTTCTCTTTTCTCTACATCCTCACCAGCATTTGTTATTTTTTGTCTTTGTGATAATAGCTCTCCTGAAGAGAGATGATAACTCATTGTGGTTTTGATTTGCATTTCCCTGATGATTAATGATGGGTTGTACATTTTAAAAATCTGTATGTTGGCCATATGTGTAATCTTGTTTTGAGAAATGTCTGTTCAGATGATTTGCCTATTTTTAAATCAGATTTTTTTTTTTTGCTTTTGAGATGTTTAGTTCCTTTGTGTATTCCAGATGTTAGTCCCCTGTCTGATGAATAGTTTGCAAATATTTTCTCCCATTTTGCAGGTTGTCTTTTCACTATGTTGATTATTTCCTTTGCTGTGCAGCAACTCTTTTGTTTGATAGGATTCCATTTGGTTATTGTGCTTTTGAGGTCTTCTTCATAAAATCTTTCCCAGACCAATGTTCTGAAGCATTTGTCTTATGTTTTTCCTAGTAGTTTTATGGTTTGGGGTCTTACAGTTAGGTCTTTGATCCATTTTGAGATTATTTTTGAATGGATCAAAGACCATTTTGAGTTGGCAGTTACGGACATCCAGTTTTCCCAGCACCATTTATTGAAGAGAGTGTCTTTTCCCCAGTGAATGTTCTTGGCATTTTGTTCAAAAACTGGTTGGCTATAGATACATGGATTAATTTCAAGCAATTCTCCTGCCTCCGCCTCCTGAGTAGCTGGGATTATAGGCACGTGCCATCATGCCTGGCTAATTTTTTTGTATTTTTAGTAGAGATGGGGTTTCACTGTGTTAGCCAGGATGGTCTTAACTGAGAATTTTAAAATATTGAGAAAAGCTGAATATTTCTCATTTCATGTGGAAAGAGAAGATGATCATTTTGGAACAACTAACCACCAAGCACTTTTACATATTCGTTTCATTTAGGTCTTCACCGTAATCTGAAAGAAGGAATCATTTTATAGGTGATAAAACTGAAGCCTAAGGATATTAAGTCACTTTCTCAAGGATACATGGTAAATTATGGAATAAGCACAAAGTTTTTGAGCTTCTGCCATGTTCCAGACATCGGGCTTCTTATTTATATTAGTTGTTACCTAGTCTCACAAGAATGAACTGCGATTCCAACCCAGGTTTTGTCCATTCTCAGTTATTTCCTGGTTTTGGAATAAGCAGTTATTGTCCTAACTTTAGCTGGCAATCAAGGTGCTGCTGCTTTTATCGCATACCTGTTGTGTTGAACCATTAAGCAATCAAGGTATTTACATATAGGTTGCCGTTTACATTTTCTCTCATATTCTTCCACATGTAGGGATATTGGAACTAGGGTAACATTCTGTTGCTTGTATGTGGAGACCGAAAATCTCTATTGTGGTGGACAACTGCTGTCTGTTTATATTAGTAGGCCATTGGTAAAGACAGGTACTAATGTCTCCAGCCCAAATTGCTGAGATCTTGACTTAATGATAGTGATAATTTAGTATATGTTTGTTGGTTGCTTGATTTGTCACTAGTGCATAGAGAATATTTTTAATTCATAATCAAAATATAGATTGTGTCTTGCTGAACCCTTTGGAACTACTGGTAAGTGAAGTGTAAACCAAGCATACATTGATTATTTGTTCATTATAATTAAACTATGTAATATCCAGGATTCACCAAGTAGTATGCCATGATTAAAGAACTCACTTTAAAAGAGCTTGTTTGTCTAGGTAAATAATTAGAAATTATGCTTTGCAAGCTTATATATACCACTTATATATGTTCATTTATAAGAATTATTTTGATATGACTTAAAATATTTTTCTTAATTAAAAGGTTAAAATAAAATTAAAAATATTTTTCTTAATTAAAAAGCCTTTGAGTTTTTTAACTGAAGTACCATAGATACTGAACGTTGATATTTTGGCCAAAATATATTTTTATTAAGCAAATATATTTGGAAAATTTTAATGTAAGTTGGACTTTAAGTATGATAACTAGTTAATCTTAACTGGAAGACTGTCAGTAAAGTACAGCTAAATTAGAACCTGACTATAGTTAATAAAGAAACTGAGTATATTTACTTTTTAAAAAGTGACATTATTAAATTAGTGAGGGTTTATTTAGTGTTTACTGTGGCCCAATACAGATTGAAAATAATATGTACCATAAAAGAGAGATTCCTGCTAAATATAATTTTGTTAAAATAACTCAATTTAGGCATTTTACAGACCTTAATTCTAATTCTGGTCCTTTCTCTGATGAGCTGTATGACCCTTGGCAAATGTTTTAATCTATTTGAGCTTCAGTATTTTAACAATAAGGATTTTTTTCAAGGACTTGATAATGATGAGTTAGGGCAACAGTTTATGAAGCAGTCTGACATACAGTACATGCTCATTGTACAAAATTGAAAAATATTGAAGCATTAAGATGAAAAAAATTACAGTATTACCCAGACATAATCAATGTTAATATTTTAGAATATATTATTCTAGACTACTTTCAATGCACATGTGTTTGTTTTTTTGAGACAGAATCTTGCTTTGTCACCCAGGCAGAGTAGAAGTGGCAGGATCTCGACTCACTGCAACCTCCACCTCCTGGGTTCAAGTGATTCTCATGCCTCAGTCTCCCGAGTAACTGGGATTACAGGTGTGGGCCACCATGCCTGGCTAATTTTTGTATTTTTAGCAGAGACAGGGTTTTACCATGTTGGCTAAGCTGGTCTTGAACTCCTAACTTCAAGTGATCTTCACACCTCCCAAAGTGATGGGATTAAAGGTGTGAGCCACCATACCTGGCTGTGTATGTGTATTTTTAAGAATGTAATAAAGTGTTTTATGAAATTGGGATCATACTCTACGTATTGTTTATAAGTTTTTTAAACATTTAGCAATGTCTTATATAATGCAAACATTTCCCTGTCTTTAAATATTCTGCTGCTGATTTTTTGTACTTTGTGTTCCTTAGTATGGATTTTTTTTTTAACTAGTCACTTTGCTATTGTTGGACCCTTAGATTGTTCCTTTTTTATTGATAAATAATGCTATTATCCTCTTAATATTTAAATGTTTTACATATCCTTGAGTTATTTTCCATAAATTATTCGAAATAAAAACCTACATTAGTGGGCATGAGGATTTATAAGGATGGCTACAAAAATTGGCCAACAGAAAAGTTGCATTATGTTTTACCCATATATCAGAATAAGAAAACACCCATTTGTCTACTTTCACCAACAATTGATATTTTTTAAATGATATTTCTACATTATACAAAATTCAAAAAGTACAGTGACAGTCACACTTCTTCCTCTGTTGTCCAGCTGCCTAGTGCTCTTTCCTAGAATTACCTACTATGCCTTGTTCCTTAAGTATTCCTCCAGACATTCTGCACTTTTATTTTTTAAAAGCCCTTTACCAGTTTGATAGGTGCAAGTAGTATCTTGCTGTTTTGATCTTTGGTTATTAGTGAATGTGAACATGTTGGCAGTTTGTATTTCTTCTGTGATTTGCTTGTTCATACCCTTTGCCCATTTTAAAATTCAGATGTTCATTTTTTTTTCTGATTTTATGAGAATTCTTTACATATAAAGGATGTAAACTTCTGTGTTACAGTTTTCCCTCAGTTTCCTAAAAGATTTTTAGTTTACATTTCGGTGGGCATTTTTAATTTTCACAAAGGAAAATGCATATTTTTAATTTACTTATAGTTTTAATTTTACACTTATTTTTATCTATTTAAAATTGATTTTGGATTCTGATTTGAGATTTTTTTTTTGTGTGTGATAGAGTTGTTTTCCTATTCCCATATTCTGATCTAGCTCCATAGTGCCTGGCAACAGTCCTATGGAAAAGCTGGAATTAAATGTTTTCCAGATTGCCTTCCGTGAATTGGGCAATCAACTGTAGACTATGGGTGTTGGTGCCATCTAGTGTTGTAGATGGAAAATCAAGTCTGTGGAATGATCTATAATTGACTATATGGAATAAATTCAGTTGGACAGAGAAATTAGCAAGCTGTAGCTAATGCTTTGCACAGATAACTTGAAAATTTTTATAGACAGTTTTGAATATTGACATCTTGTATCAAATCAAAGGCTTTAATAATGCTATTACAAACATTATGAAATGACCTTAAAGATTCCCCCCAAAACTGGATACTGAAATGAAGACATTAAAGTTTAAGAAGATCTGTTTAGAGCCTAGTGACTATTAATTTTTGAATTCAGAATTTAAAAATTCCTCTTTGAGGTTGGTCATGGTGGCTCATGCTTGTAATCCCAGTTCTTTGGGAGGCTGAGGTGGGCGGATCACAAGGTCAGGCGATCGGAACCATCTGGCCAACATGGTGAAACCATGCCTCTACTAAAAATACAAAAACTAGCTGGGCGTGGTGGTGCACGCCTGTAGTCCTAGCTACTCTGGAGGCTGAATCGAGATCACTTGAACTTGGTAGGCAGAAGTTACAGTGAGTTGAGATCTCGCCACTGCACTCCAGCCTGGCAACAGAGCGAGACTCCATCTCAAAAAAATAAATTAAAAAACGTGCTTCCTTCCGCAGCACACATGCTAAAATTGGAATGATAACAGAGAAGATTAGCATGGCTCCTTCACAAGGATGACACATAAAATTTATGAAATGTTTCATATTTTTATATAAAAAATTTAAAAATGCTTTGGGTGTTTAAGAATATTTGTATATTTATTTTAGATTATAATGTAAGAAGCACATTTTCATAAATAGTGTCACTTTCAATTTCTCTATGAATTTTAGTATTCATTTTTAGTAGCTTATGTTAAATTGTTTACAGACTTTAAAATCGTTGCTGTTTTGCTATTTGAACTTGTCCTGTCATTCGTTTTCTAGACTATAATCTTTTTCCAATTCTTAAGATTTAATTCAGTAGTTAATGTTGAAGTGCTGTAATTTTGTCCATAGGGGGCATTATATTACAGCGTATGATAGGGTTTTAAAAATTAACTCTTCTTCAGTAATGAAACATGTTAGTTTCATACCTTTGTGTAGTTCAGAATAATTAAATTTGGAAATAAGTTTAAAACTGTGTAGCTATAATTGTTTCTTAATTCTTTATTTTTTAAATGCCTGTTTTCTGTGGCTGCAAAGTAGAAATTATTTTAGCTCCCAAGAGCAGTGTACATAAGCAGTCTCTAACTTCAAGAGTAGCATTTTCAATCCAAATCATTGCTTCTTTCCCACCTTCTTTCCCTTGCATCTCTAAATGTTGTAAAGAAAAGGAAGCAAAATGAAAACCTGAGTTTTTCTTGGGTGCAGAAGCAGAGGAAAGAAAGAAATGGAAAAGGAAGACTGTCTTAGAATAAGAGCTGGCAGGGGTGGACTTAACACCTTGCCTAGTGCTGCCTGTTCTAAAATCCAAAATATAACTCTACTGTCTGAAATTTCACCAGTTACATACAATCACCCCTACCCACCACGAGGAAAAAAAAACCCCAAAAAATATACACAGAGTTTCTGAGGTCACACAAAAGATTTTTGTTTAGTAGGAATTGATTTATTCATATAATTTTCCTACTTAAGTGGTAAGTGTACTAAGGAAACTAGAGTTTTGATTTGAGATGTGAGAAGAGAAACAATGTAGGTAATTTTAGAGCATATTACCCTTTGGAAAGGCATTATCGATATGTGCTTGGGGAAGTTTTCATCTTTGATTTTTTTTTTTTTTTTTTTTTGTCATGCCTGGAGAAGGGGATACTGGGGACATGGACATTGAGGAGTGGGAAATTGCCAAATACGAACTTTGAACAGTTTATTTCAAAAGTTCTGTGTAAAGCTGATTTTCGAGTTCAGGAAAAGGAGACTACTTTCCCCTTTCCCTATCTTCTCCCCTGCACACACACACAATATAAAACAGGGCTTAGAATTCATACAACATGTTTATTGACTTGCAATATAAATAAAGGAGTTTTCTGTGGCCTCTCCTTTGTGAGCCTTTCCTTTAAAGGGAAATGAGTTTCCTGTCTCAAATAATCAAAATGCTATTCTGCAAGTAGGGACATATGTGATCTACTTGGTTATGTAGTTGAAGGAAAACAAAATAAATGAGAAGTTTTTAACAGATGTATGCCCTTTATTTGACTTGTTAAGTTGGGGTTCAATGTGGAATAGGACCTCTAAACTATTTGTATGTAAATTTTTCTCAGCTGGAAAATAATAGAACTATGTAGTAAGGACAATAGTTGGTGTATGGGAGGGGGCAATTCTGTCTAGGAAGATTGGGTTATTGCCTAGAATTGAATGACTTAATATATGGGCTTCTTTCGATGTGCCTTACTGTTCTTGTTGCCTGTTAGTTTGATTGTTATTTTTAGCATACTGCTAAGTAAATAGCACTTACATAGTGCCTACTTTTTGTCAGGCAATGTCCTAAAAGCCTTTTATTTTTAGTAGAGATTATATGATTCTCACAATAAACATAGCCCGTCTGGGTTTACATCTTTAATAAATTTGTATCATATCAATTTTTCAGATGTAAGCACTTCTTTGCTTAGCTTACCAAACTTAAAATAAGTTTAGTTGAAAAACTTTATAAGAAAGAAGTGGGAAAAATGTCAGTTGATTTCCACAAGCTGGTTTTCCTTGTACACTTATAAAAAGACCATACAAATTGAGGAAGTAGGTATCACTAGGTAGGTTGAAATGTTTACTAAACTTCAGGGCTCCTGTTTTGACTTTTTAATCTGCCAACGATGCTATTAAGTATGTTTAATATTTAGATGAGTGAGTATGTTTTATTACACTTTTTAAAAATTGTTAAGCCAAATCAAGTCCACAGAAGATAGGAGTAGTTTTAAGTGCCGAGTAACTTGATCTCAATGAATCTTTTTTCTTCTATTAGTGAAATAATCTCTGACTTGAAAATAGTGTTTGGGTACTATAGTTGAGTACTTTATTCTAATGCTAATTATTTATTAGATTTTAGTTTTAAGGGACTTGATACTAGAAAATTAGTATTTTGTATTTACTAAATAGTTTGAGATTCTGAATGTTGTTGGAGAGGCCAGGCATTTTCAGGCCGTGGTATGACTTGACCGGGTTCTCAAATACCGCATTATGCAAGGGTTCAGTGAGTAAAGTTTAAAGTTAAATATTAACTCAAACTGAGAATACTGGGCCCTTTTAAAAATTCCTTTTCTTTATTTATGTTTGGAGTTAGAGAGGCAGATAGGGAAATAAATGTGTCGTTGGTATTCAAGCCACTTCCTTCCACCTCCCCTCATTTTTCTAATTTAAGTTCTTTCTATGTTTAACTCTTAAATTTTTTTTTTAATGTTTGTGGGTACATAGTAGGTGTATATATTAACCTCAAGCCACTTCTGATAGTAAGGATTTTGCAGTCCACAGTTGTATAGCAAGTTCCAGAAAATATTATCTCCTTTCATTGTAGCTATACAGTTTTAAGTATGTATTTTTGTACACAGGCTATATATAATATTTTTGCAAATTGCATTTTAAAATATTTTAGCTGATTTGTTACTGCCTTTTCTGCTTAGGCAGATATAAGCATCAGGTAAACTGATTGTTGAACATAAGTAGAGACGCTACACTGTAATGAAAATTAGTTTTATAAAGTTGAACAAAAATTTTAGAAATGCTATACATAGATTTGTTTTTATATTTTTCAGTAAAATTTTAGGCCAGGTTTGGTGGCTCATACCTGTAATCCCAGCACTTCGAGAGGCTGAGACAGGAGAATTGCTTGAGCCCAGGAGTTTGTGACCAGCTTGGGCAACACAGGGAGACCTCGTCTCTAAAAAAAAAATAAAAGTTTAAAAATAAAAAATAAATTAACTGGGCATGGTGGCACATGCCTGTGGTGACTGAGGTGGGAGGATTGCTTGAGGCTGGGAGGTAAAGGTTGCCACATGAGCCATGATTGCACCACTGCACTCCAGCCTCAGCGGCAGAGTGAGACCCTGTGTCAGAAAAATAAAATTATAGTTTGCTCTTATGTCATTTTCCCATGGCAAATGATATCATTAGCACATGAATATCTCCCAAGCCAAGAATCTATTAATAGAAAGTCTCTGTAGTGATGTCTAATAAATATTTATTGAAAGGTTGAGTTGGAGCAGGTAATGATTGAGAGTTAGTATATATTTGTAAGTCTCTGGATTTCCATAATTGTAAAAGGGGAAAAAAGAGATTAGAAAGGTTAAGTTGCTAAAATTAATGTCTGTTTTCTGTTCCAGTAATATGCTCAATAAACATTAGTAATTTTATTTTCCGCCTATCCATTTATAAGGTGCAAAATGCTGAATGTTTTTCATCTTAATAAACTTAGGAGAAATTAAGGAGACATTCATCATTTCACAAGCTTGAAATTTAGGGTATTACCGTTTGATCAGTCAGTTTTTATCTTATCAGGTAACCATTAATTTTAGAGTTTTAAATGAAACTGAAAACCAGCAGCATAATTCGTCCATCTGTTAAAAAACGAAAGAAAAAAAAGAAAACTGCATATGGCTTTAAGTGCATTTCAAAACATTCAGTGGTTGGTTCTGTTATAAGAGCAACCCTCATTCCCTTTCTTTTGGTAGCCTGCCCTCCCCTTCAAATGCAGCTCCATTTGGTAGCAGCAACAAGGCAAATGCCTAGAATGATCAACAGATAGAAGGAAAGCATTAAATGCTGGAGTATTAGTAGCCTAGTTACAGATTGCACTGCGTCAGACTGCTTCCACACCCAGAAGACATCAGGTGACTTCAGTCCTGCTGCAGTTGTGCAGCAGAGGAGACTGCAGACTTCGGTTGAGGAAACGGGTATTTCATGTCTCAGGGAATAGATCTGTGCTGTTACAGCTTTTCTGTTGGTATGCATAATTAATAATTGGAGCTGCAAGGCACTGATTGTGACAAGAGATGGACGGTCAGAAGAAAAATTGGAAGGACAAGGGTATATGTGCTTTTTAACCTCTTATTTCTTCAGTTTTTGTATGTGACCAGTAATGTATTTCTGTGAATAAACTTTGCAATGTAGATATTTTGGATTGAAAGTGAAACCTATGAAGAGTTTAAGGCTAAAGGATTGAAACAGCTATCTTGTGTGTTTTTACATTTGGTTGTATACCTGAAAATGTCATGCTGTTCTGTTTCATTGGCGTTTGGTTTAGTCTTTTCAGTCCTGTTTAGGTTCTGTTCTCTAATCTTGCACATTGTAAACAATATAGATCTAACAGATTTCATTTGTTTGTCACTTTGATGTGGTAAATATGCATTGCCCTGTTTTTGTATTTCATAGTGACATATTTTCCGCGACTATTTTAAAAAACCTTACTTGGTGTAGTTGAAATTCTATATAAAGGTTTGTAGGTAGCAAGTTACTGCGTTTGCAGTAAGCCTCTTTTCTTTGAAAATCTGATTTGAACCTTTAAAATTATTACCAACTTTCTTTTAATCACATATATGCATCTTGAAATCATTCAGATTACACACAGTATAATTACACCTGTAATTTTAAATGCATGTCTATATTAAGTCACTAACCTTTGTCCTTGTAATAACCAATCAGTGATTTTGATCCCTTTTCCTCCCCCATGAAAGCCCAGATCCTTTCAAATCTCGGTGGATCATTGTGTAAGAATTTAAGCCTGTAAATGGTAGAATGTTGACTAGAAT